CTAAGAGAAAAAAGAGGTCTTACTTTTTGCTTGGCCTGCATCTTGCATCTGACTTGTCACTTCTGGGGTATTGGACTTGATCCAGTGGCCTGCCTTACCTGCCAACCTTGGTGCCATCAGTCTCCAAAGCCTTGTCAAGTATTTTTTGTCTTCTGTCTGTAAACTTCCTTTTTACCCTGTTGGAGACGATCTTTTGATTATGCATAAGGATTTAATTTTTAGACGGTCCCATTCATCTATTTTAGCCTCTCCTGGTTGTAGGTTTTTCATTATGCTTGTAATAACATTATATTTTTGTTATTCATGCCATGTTTTAGAGCTTTTAGAGTTTTCCTCTGATGAACTTTATAGTCTTTGGTTTTACTTCTAGGTCCCTGATCCATCTTGAGTAAAAGAAGAGGAAGACCCCAGACGAGATGAATTGACACGATAACTGGGGCAATAGGATTAAGTGTGTCAGAATAAGTGAGACTAGTTCAGGGTATGGCAGGGTTCAGAGCCTTTGTACGTAGGATTGCTAGGAGTCACAGGCAACTCGATGACACATAACAACAATGTTTCACCTGCATATAGAGATAGTTTTACCTCCTCTTTGCCAATGTGGATGCCTCTTATTTCCTTCTCTTGCCTTAGGCAGTCTCTAGGACGGCCAATACATTATTGAATAGGAGTTATGATAGTGTGCATTCTTCCCTTGTGCTTCTTCTCAAGGGTAAATGCCTTTAATCTTTCTCCATTGAGGATGGTGTTTACTGTTGGTTTAGAGTAGGTGCCCTTAATTATACTGAGGAATTTCCCCTCTATTCCTAATTTGTTATATGTGTTTATCAGGAATGATGGATTTTGTAAAAAGCCTTTTTGGTTTCAACTGAGATGATCATGTGGTTCTTATCCTTTATTTTGTTGATGTGATGGATTATACTTATTTTTTTGTCGAACCATTCTTGCATGCCTATTATGAATCCCAGTTGGTCATGACATACATATTAGTCGTCTGAGATCTTGTTGAATTCTATTGGCTACAATTTTGTTAAGGATTTTTGTGTCTATGTTCATGAGAGATATTGGCCTATGGTTTTCTATTTTGGTGGTGTGTTTCCCTGTCTTTGGTATCAAGTTATGTTGGTTTCATAAACTGAGCTTGGGAATATTCTAAGCTTTACGGTTTTCTGAAACACTTGATGTACCTCTGCTTCTCTGCAGCAGTGTGGGTCACAAGTTGCCTCTCTCCTGAGACCTGACCCATGGACATGGGATTTGCCAGCCTCTGGAAGCACATGAAATATTTCCTCACATGTAATCTCCCTTTACCGACTTCTGTTAAATCAGTTCTGACTCATAGTGAGTCTCCTATGGAGCAGTTGGTGGAATTGAACTGCCAGCCTTCCAGTTAGCAGCCCTGTAATACATTGTGTGTTGTGCCACCAGGAGAGTGTGGCTGTGTGTTTCATTAGTTTTGCTTTTCTACAGAGAACCCAGCCTAACAACTTAAAACACCATATCATAAAGATAACAAAAAACCTGTTCCTAGAGCCAATACAGAGGAAAACTTTCTTCTAGAATCTTCTAGATTTCCCGGAATCAGACCTGTAGCCTCTTAAACTGAGAGAAAATAAATGTATGTTCATGAAAGCCACCCACTTGCAATATTTCTGTTATAAACACTATTGTATCACTAAGCAAGAAGAATGAAATAAACTTTGGAGAATAAGGACAGCAGTATCTATTACATATCCTCAGGGAAGAGAAGGCACATAGCTGACTTCTGGACATATAGGAACCCAATGATACTGGTTCATGGTTGAAAATCATGAACTGTGGTTAACTCCCACTCACTAATCATATTCTTTTTCTCTTTATTATAACTCATTACTGTCAAGTCTGAACAAACTCATAGCTGACCCTCCAGTGGGTTTCCAAGGCTGTAAAACACATGAGAGGAGATTGCCCACCTTTCTCACTTAGAGCAACTAGTGGATTTGAAAGAGCAGGGAAGCATGGCTTTTGAGTTAACAACATAAATCCCTCGATGTTTCACAGACACTGAGTGCCACAGGAGGGCAGGACAATATATCTGGGTGACTTGAAAGATTGAGGTTCAAATTATATAGTGTTCATATCAAATAAAGATAAGTTGAAACAGAGATAAAAAACAAACAGTAAAGCCAGAGGGCTGCATATTTTATTGAAATAGAATAATAGTTTAGGAAGACATAAAAGAGTAGAACAGACAATTATATTCATGAGTGAATACTTCTTTTCAGACTCGAGGCTCTCTTAGTGATACTAAAGTTCTGGGTGCAAGCAGTCAGTGGATAGAAGAAATGGAAGGATTAAGAACTCTGAAGAGGGCGAAGATGAGGAGATGGAGATTGGGTATTGACTGAGCCATCCGTAATGATATTAAAGTGAATAACCATGAAACTCTAAGCACAAGAGTGCAATGAAATGATAACGCTCTTAATAAAAGTGAGCCTGGGGAGTTCTGGTGGCCTAGTGGCAAGAAGCTGCACTGTAATCCCAGAAGTTTGTAGTTCAAATCCCCATATGCTCTGCTGGACAAAGAGGGGCAATCTCCTCCTGTACCAGTCATATCTGATTTAACAGTACACACACAAAAAATAATAAAATTTAAAAAAAATAAAAGTGAAAAAAAAAAAGTGAGCCCAACTAGGAAGCCAGAGAACAAAGATTGAGTGAGTAGAGACTTACCAGATGGCATGAGCCTTACAGGAGGAAGGGTTTTTATATGAACATGGAAGAGAAGTAGCCTGCAAGTACCTCAAAAAGGAATACCTCGGTGATGTGAATGGACAAACACCAGCCTGTTAACTAAAAGGTGGGAGGGTTGAGACTCAGAAGAGGTTACACTTTACACTTCTGAAAACCCAGCTGTAGATAACGCTGTAGACCAGTTTGATGGTGACACGCATAAGGTTACTCTGTGTTAGAATCAACTTCAAAACGAGATGTCTCACCTGAGAAAGCTAGACAAGTCTTCATGTACCTCACAGACCTTCACTGTGTGTGACTAGGGCAAGAGCTACAGGATTGGGGTTTCCTTGGTGAGATTGGAAGTAGAAAAAGTGTACCAGAAAAGGAGTTGAAGTGTGATGTGGTTCCAGGTGATGCCACTATCTTGAGAGTTGACAAGAAGGTCTGTGAGGGGCCAGGCAGAGAAAGATGAGTTGCTGGTGATGAAGTTGGAGGCAAGAGAGGTTAAAGCACAAAACAGTCTTAACGGTGAGCACTCAAAGAAACATAGATGGAAACAGGGGCTATTGATGACCCAGATGTCCTCAGAATTACAAATTAAAAGGCTCTGCACAGCCTGAGATCCACATGAGATGAAGACAGTCATCTTTGGCTGTGTCCCTGTCCATCCTTTCAATTCCTGTTCCTTTCCTCTCAGTGTCTGCAAGACTCATTTCTTTCTCTTCAATCCCACAGTCATACCCAAAGCCTGGATCAGTGCACGCTGACTGATCCAGCACTGAGCTTTGCCTGCTACCGTCCTTCCACTCTGTAGTTTTCCATCTAATCTTTTATTAAGCACCTCTTTGTCCATTGCATTTTCTTGCTAATAATGAAAAAAAGTAGACTATTGTGTGAGTAGCAGTGTCACAAAGGCCATCTAATAATCCCAGCATTTTTTATCCTGGCTTTTTTCCCCCTTGAATAACTTGTTTATCTCCCTGGTTCTAAAGCTGACATCAAATTTATTGCCACTAGGATTTATAGAGTTTAATAAAAGTATTTCTTGGGTTCATCTCAGTTGAATCTATAATAACTATTTCTCAACAAAAAAGTCATCGTCTTGCTTTTTCTAACCTAGTTAAGAGTCTGTATATTATTTTAGTATTTAAAAGAAATATCCAATAATAATACTCTTGCCAAAGAGTTTCTTGCCCAAGTATCAAATTGTTATCTTCAGCCTTAGTTCCTCTGAAACTTTTTTGTTTGATTATCGATGCTTAATCTTTTAAAAATTTCTCCTCTTGTATATGTTACCTACCTGTCAAAATTGGCTGATGTTTCCTTCATCAGACATTTTTTAGATACCTTTTTTCTGAATAATATGATATACGTTCTTTAAATTTTATTGGATTCAGCTAATACCTTTTGTCCAAGAATAATTGGTCCTCTGTATTAAGGTCATTTCTTTGTATTAAGTTTTCCTTGAACTTAGAAAACAACTGACGCGTACAGAGCAAATGAGAGTGATAGAGCCACGATGTGTGTGTGTGTGTGTGTGTGTGTGTGTGTGTATGTGTGTGTGTGTGGTCATCTCCTCCTTTATTCCCAGAACAACCTCTCTTTTGGGGTACATCCAACCAAACAGTCACATCTATACAAGGTCCACTCTGGTCTTGCCTCTATTTTCTTCACTCAATTGTGTATAGAAAATATTTCTATATGTTGTCAATAATGAAGAATGGGAAAAGGGATGAAATGATATGAAATCCAAGATGGCAGAACTACCTGATACTTGCCAGGAAAGTTCTAATCAAGGTGTGACAGATGGATAAATATAGAACGGTGCCATCAGCTAGACTGCAAATCATGCCAGTCTTACATCCAGTCCAGAGAAGCAATGCCTCAGCTGGCATAATCTTCATGAAATAAATAACTGTGGGCACATACAAGTGAATTTAAAGGATAGAGCAAGCCAGAAGTTTTAGCATCAGGGCCCTTCTTACTTATTGACCCTATTACATCACCACTTTCTATGATAGTGGCCCAATGCTAGCCTTTCCAATGTAGCCCCTGCAGAAAAGTACCATTGTTTCTCCTCATTCTTGAGGATTCCATGAGGGAACAGTTGGAACAGTTTCGGTTTTGCCAACTGCTTCCTTTATTTGAGAACCAGAAGCTGGAATGTGTGGTCCTCTGGGTATAGATTTAGATATGTCTACATTTGAGGAGTGCTATGGAGGGGTGCATTGGCTTAGGAACTTGAACAACCCAGAAAATGATGACAAGCTTCATTCTCCTTTCAGGAAAGAAACTTGGATATACGTTCAACAATCGGAATTTCCATAACGTGTCCCTCGGACAAGGACAGGAAGTGGTGGCGGAGGCTGCACTGGACCTAGCTGCCAAGAAAGGTCACTGGGTGATTTTGCAGGTACGCCACCTTGCCCGCATTCTTGACTCTGTGCCTGTTTACTCCTGTTCCTACAATCTCTGGCCTCTCTGTCCACTCAGCTCCTCTCGTCTGCCTTTCCTTTTTCCACTCTTGGCTCTTTCATGTTCTCATCTTCTCTTTCCCTTTCTACAGTTCTACACAAAACACACACACACACACACACACACACACACACCCTCTTCTTTCCCTCATCCCCCAAGTGTCTGTCTTTTAGTTTAAATAGGTCTTATTTAAAAAAAAAATACAGATGCTAACTTTTCTGCATGTGCTCTGAGTTGGCTTCCAACTGAAAACAACAGCAGCTGGGTTCTTTCAGTTGCTGATCTCGTCTGTGCATTTCATGGAACTTGGTTCGCTGTGCTGTACCTTCCTGTCATGTTTTCTGTTATGTATTCTTCATAATACATGTGACTAGAAAGTGGGAGCAACCATAGATTCTCTCTGAGAGTCCCTTATGGGATTTGGGGGATCAGGAACACCTCCCACTGATTATTTCACTGGATATGGTATTCATTATACAAGAAGAGGAAAAAAGGTTCTCCCTCTCCTATCATGGCCTGTTACGTTAATCCTCTTGTGTGCAACGTATGGATGCTGGAGCTGGGGGAAACAAGTGTTCTTCTTTGTAGAGAACAATCTGCAATCACCTCAATTGCAGAGTTCACTGCTATAATGAAATTATTTATTACATGACTGTCCTTCATTAAATATCCTTAAAGAGAAAGAGAAATGTTCCTTATTTATCTATTAACACCCAGCACAGAGCCACATATACTAGATATTTTAAATGCCTGTAAAGTGAAAGAATGAGTGAAGAAGTGAACAAAAGAATAAATGGAAAAGTCAGTCCCCACCTTTTCCAGACTTTCAGTATAAGAAATATTTTCTTAACAACACATAGCAACAACAACAAATTACTGCTGTACCACACCTTACTCTAGGGTCTCCATCCTTGATTATCTTATCTGTTCTAAGACTAACAGCTGAGGGATCTATCAGTCCTTGGAGCCTCCTTTTCTAGAGACAGTGAGAATCCGAGTGGGTCGGCACAGGCTGGGAAGGTGTGGCCTTCCACTCACCTTCAGATCTTTAGTCTAGAAGACCTGCCTTTTGGAACAACTATGTTGGGGAACCCAACTACTCCAGTCAGGAGGTCAGATACTCAGATAATAGTGGTGCCCACCCAAGCCCACTCAGCAGAGAATGCCCTTGTTCCCCCACCAGCTCTGTCAGCTATGCAGGAACCCTGTCTTAGACTGATGTGGTTTTGAGATGTCTTAAAAAATGTTTCTCAGAACTCCATTTCCAGTGAAAACCAATTCTTCCATGAGCATCATAAGCTGGATGCTGGATTTTTCACTTGAAGGAAGTATCTGAGTGTTGAATAGACATCATCTGTCCAAACTGTAAAGTACTATCGAAAATGAGGGCTCTGGCTTATTTTCTCTTTCTCAGGACTTTTTTTTAAAGAATGTTCTGGGGTACTGAGCTAGCAAGCCTGCAGTCCTCATGTATCTGTTTTCCAGTCTGCAAATCTGGAGCGAGTCTCTGACCCATACCCACCCCCCCCCAAAACAAACAAACAAACAAACAAAAAACATAACTAAGATAGTTAAATAAGTTCTTCCTTCAAAGATTTGGAAAATTCTGCCTATAATATTCTCTTTCAATATTGAAGGTTTTCAATCAATAGATTAATGCTTTTGAGAATCTTGTGCTTTGGAAATCTTTTTCAAGCCAGTATTCCCATATTGAATGGAATGCAGACCCTCTTTATGGAGCTAAGAACTTTTACTCTTCCTTGGCATGCCCTTTGGAAAATGCTACCTGGGAACCACAATCAGAGGAACTTGGGATTCTTCTCCTGGAAGAACCAGGTTCTCCTGAGGACCATGGGTGCAAAACCAGAGAGGTCAGAATCTCCCTTCTCCCTTCCTGGCTGTTGCAGCTATAGGGTGAGTTTCCCAGACCATGACATGTTTTGGACCATAAATCTAGTGGAGCAGCCTCTGATATCCTTAAATCCTTCCATCCCAAGGAAGCAGAGGTTCCCAATCCTAGCTTTGCCCTTAATAACAGAATTTGGAATTATTTAACTAAGAAGCTGGACTCCTCCTTGGTGGTCACAGCACTCCGCATCCAGCAGGGCTCTAAGGTGTCCAGGCAGCCTGTGAAACACTGTTCAATAAAATAACTATCAGGGGATTCTCATTCACAAATCTTCATTCCAGTACTAACTCCTATCTAGCATTTTACAGTCTGCCAAGCTCAAATCTATCCCCTTTGGTTATCTGCAGCAATTCTTTGACATAAGTATGGCAAACAGTATTGTTATTTCTCTTCCTATAGAAAAGTAAACAGTATTTAAAAACCCCCAGACTGTGGTCCAGGGGCTGGGCTCAGGGCTTCTCTGTGTGTTTAAGGCTCTTTGAACCATCAGCCTCAAATATTTACTTGAGGAGCATTTATCTGCTCCTCATAATGGAAGATATTTCAATGAAGACAGTGACTATGCTTATTGAAGTGAAAGGCAAATCCTGCAAAGATGTGTTAAGAAATTAATGTAGGTTTAGCTAGATGGACGACCTCAGCCACTGCATAAAACTGTTGGAGCTCAGAGGAGGAAATCCCTGTTGGCTTTTGAGCAGCAGTGGCTTAGCGTGGGCTAAGAAGAGACGTTTGTTAACAATTAGCAGAAAGGTTTGGAGAGGGGAGACACAAGCCAGGGAAACTAGCCAGGCAGAGTTTAAATCCATGCTTTTCAAACTTGAGTATGTGTTTGAATCTCTGGAATATTCTATTAAACATTGTACTGCTTCAGTACGTCTGAGCTTCTACATTTCTAATCAGCTCCCAGGTGATGGCAACCTATTTCTGACCTGTGGTCCCCACTTTTAAGTTTCAAGGGGTCAGTAATTGAAGTGTCAAGTCATGGGATTCTGAATTTGGATGAGAGTAGCATTACAGTTTTGGTTTTCAAAGTTTCCCCAGGTCAGGAATATAATATCATCTGGAAATTTGTTAGAAATGCAAATCTCCAGGCCTCACCCTAGGTCTGCTAGTCCACAACTCTAGCATGCAGCCCAGCAATCTGTGCTTTAGCCAGCTCCCTGCTCCCCCAGAGGGTTCTCATGCCCAGTCAGATTTGAGGCCACTGTGCTAGAGAGTTGGAGCACTCTGGTGGCTTAGCCTATAGGGAGTTTCACTAGTAACCCAAAAATGGTACCTCACTGGTGGTTTAAAATGACTGGCAGTTCTGAGAGAGAAGGATGAGCAATCTTCACCTGTGTAATTTAGAGCCTCTGAAAACCTGCTGGAGGGTCAGCTATCAGTCAGTTCCATCTTGACAGAGACAGAGAGTACTAGAAAGAATATAAAGAGATGAAGTTCAGATGTAGGCTACTAAGATGTTCCCAAGACTCATATTTCAGTGACATTTATCTGAAGTCAAGGTGAGGTGCCTCCTTAGCTGCCTTCCTGATTACTGTCTACTGCAAACAGAATTGAGCAGATGCGTGGGTTGGGCTGAGGGTGTTGTTGTTCTTTCTTTCCCATCAGAACATACACTTGGTGGCCAAGTGGCTCAGCACCCTAGAGAAGAAGCTGGAGGAGCACAGTGAGAACAGCCACCCCGAATTCAGAGTCTTCATCAGCGCAGAGCCTTCGCCCTCTGCTGCAAGTCACATCATCCCCCAGGGCATCCTGGAGAACTCCATCAAGATCACCAATGAGCCTCCCACCGGCATGCATGCTAACCTGCACAAGGCCTTGGACAATTTCACTCAGGTACTGCCCTGTGAGGGAGGGAGGACACCCACCACCTCACCAAGAATTTATTCAGCTGGGTAAGGGAACAGGCATCCAATGTTGGGTGGGTAGAGTGGCTAGTGGAGCAATGTGTGATGAGGACAGAGAAGATTCCCTCTCCTCACTCAGTGCAATCCAGACCTCCATTCCAAGAAATACCTGTTTGACAAGAGTTTGGGGAGAACTTTCTGGAAATCTCCCTGCTGACTAAATAAAGTGGGCCTGGTGCTGTCAGTCTAATTGCTGTCATACATATAATGGTTACATATTTATGGTTACACCTGTTGTTACCAGTAAAGGGAATGACTGTCTTGTTTAGAAGTTATCACTTGGTAAGCTATGTGCATAAGAGTTCCGTGTAAGAAGTAGCATCCATGAAGTGTGCAACTTGGCCTCTTCCATATTCTCAGGAAAACAACATTTCTTGTTTCTTCCTTGGGAACTGCACAAATGTATGGAAACCAGGAAGTGAGGGCCATGCTTTATCTGCCGTATTGGCCTGTAGATTATCCAAGGAGAGGGCTCTAGGAGCTCTTGGGGAGATCTTTCTCTCTGAGGTCACCTTGTAATGGCATTGGTGGATTCCTAATTTCCCAGAATCTGCACTAAGACTAAACAACCACATATCCCGGGTGGTTAATCTCCAAAACGTGAGATGACCATTTAATAGGAAAATTATTCCATTTATCACAATATAAACTACCAGAACCAGCGAAACTATGGAACCAGGCTTCATTTAAAGATAATTTGACATGCAGAGATTTAAAAGATTTTTACTGACTTCTCATAACATGGGAGCTGAACAGTCCAACTTAAAGATGGAATATTCCACCAAGATGTGTTGTTGTTAGGTGCTGTCAAGTCAAGTATAACTCATACTGATGCTGGGAACAACATATCTGACCCCTGTCCTATCCTGTGCCAACTTCAACATCTCTGACACATTTGAGCCCATGACTACAATTACCATGTCAGTCTATCTGGCTGAGGGGCCTCCTCTCTTTCACTGACCCTACACCTTTCCAAGCTGAATGTCCTCCTCCAAAAAATAGCCTCTCCTAGAAACCTACCCAAACTGTGTGAGAAAAAGCTTTCTCATTTTTGTCTCCATGGAGGACTCTGGCTGCACCCTCCCTAAAACATACCTGTTTGTTCTTTTGGCAGTCCATGAGATAGTCAATACTCTTCTCCAACACCACATCTCAAAGGTATCAATTCTTCTGTGATCTTTATTGTCTAGCTTTCAGATGCATAGCAAGTGATTAAAAAAAATATAGGAAGCTAAATTTGCCCAGTCTCTTCCTTTTTCCATTCCCCTCTAAACTGAATTTCAAAACAAACATATCATTTATGACCAAAGAATGGTAGAACATACCAGAGTTTTCAGAATTATTTTTGTTAAGAAATATCTTGGTCTTGTCAACATAGGTCAGAAGGGATGTTGCTCTTCTGTCCAGAGATATTTTCTTCTCTTTCCTTTCTGCCCTAAATCAGTCTTGACTAAAATGCTGGGTGCTCAACTCCAGAGGTCAGAACTTCTAAATTACCTACATTTTATGTTCTACTTAGAGACAAACATACATTTTTTAAAATCTAAAACTTTCCTTAGAGGAAGCTATCATTCCATTCAAGCAAAGGCATTAGGTTATTGTCTAGCATACTGTGATTCTCAAGGACTTTGCCTTAATGGGATTGTGATGCAATTAGCTCTAATTGGGGGGAAAAATGCAGTAGCACCTCATTCTCAGCTTTGAGAGATTCAGCCTGAACCAGGTAGAAGGGAAGCAGGTGGCTCACCTTAGGCCTCCTGAGTATGAATATTAGGTCTCAGTAGGATTATTACTCCAGATTCCTCTAGTGGCCTGGTGGGTAAGGAATTGCCCTACCAACTCAAAGGCACGCAGTTCAAATCCACCAGCTCTTCTGAGGGAGAAAGATGGGCAATCAACTCCCATTTGATTTGTAGCTTCCGAAAATTCAGTGGAGGGTTCCGACTTGATACCACATATGGTTATTAGTGTATTATTATCATCAAGGTTATTAGGATTATTATCATCATTCATAGTCACACCTGGCTTCATCTTTGCAAATCCCCCTATGAGTTTTGTTCTTGAAATCATCTTCCCAGGAGCCTGATGGCCACCTGTGGTTGTCTTCTTGTGTCCTTTCTTTCTGTATTTCCAGAGAAATATGTTCTCAGAGGTGTTGGCTTTCCCTGGCTATCCAGCCCACATCAAAGGTGAGATTTTTGTTTTGTAGTTTAGTGCAGGGTTTTATGTCATTTAGATACATCTTCAGTAATTCTTCTGAGAAGTGGAGATAGACTTATGAGGAAAACTCCTTGTTTATAAGAACTTCCAGTGCCCCCTTCTGCTTTCACCAGTGTCTTAGAACAGAGACCACTTTAATACCCCTATTCACCCTCTTCTCTCAGAGCCTTAACCATGTAAGAGGCCATTTAACTGAACTCTTCATCTCACTCCCCTGATAACTGGGCTCTTTGGGGATGATTATTTTATTCTTTGGTTTCCAGTACTTTAGTATGTGATCTCTTGTGTTTGTGCTTAAAGATTTTTTTTCAGCAGAACTCAGTTTTTTCCCCCAAATATGGAAGATATAACAAATAAATATTCCTACACAACTATACAGAATGGCTTTTTTAAAAAAAATCAGTTTTAAAATTGTTACTTATACAGGACAATAACTATCTTCCATACCACCTGCAGTCATCTGCAGTCGGTACCTTGTGTCAAACCTTGTATCCATGGCAGTTCTGCAGTGGCCCCTACATGTCCAGAGAGAAATGGAGACTGTGTCGTGGTCTGTGGGTGGAAAATCACACTTACTGTGTGCTTAGTCTGTCCTGTCTCCTGTTTCTTTGCCCATGTATGCAGACTAGGGACAATTCCTAGGGGAAAAAAAAATCAGGACTATGCTTAGTCTGATTCTCAGTGCAGTTCATCTTTTGATTTCCTGCCTGCTGGTTCTGAGAGTGTTGATTTTGGAGCCGAACAAGCTGTAATTGTGAACAACCTCCATTTCCTTTCTATCAATCATGGTGCTGCCAGTTGGAAATCAAAAGATAAATTGTACTGGGAAAATCTTCCATCAGGGACCTCTCCAGAGTAATGAAAAGCAACAATGTCAGTCTAGAGACTAAGGTGCACCTAATCCAGGCCATGGTCTCCACAATTACTTGCTATGCATCAGGAGGCTAGACAATGACTAAAGATGATAGAAGAATTGATGCCTTCGCGTTGTGGTGCTAGAGAAGAGTCTGGAACATACTGTGGACCACCAGGAAAACAAGCCTGTCTTGGAGAGGGTGAAATCATGTTTCTCCTTAGAAGCCAGGATTTTGAAGCTCCATCTCACATACTTTGGGCATGTGGCTAGGAGGGACCGGTCCTTGGAGAAAGATATCATGCTTGGAAGGGTGGAGAGATAGCACATGAGAGGCAGACCCTGGATGAGATGGATTGATACAGTAACTGGGGCAATGGGGATTGGTGTGTAAGAATTAGCGAGACTGGCTCAGGACAGAGCAGGGCTCAGAGCTGTTGTACATAGTGTCATAGGCTACTCGATGGCACATAACTACAACAATGCCTCTACACTTGAGCTTTAAAAGTGCTCCCGTTGCAGTATCTTGCTCCTTTCTAAACAGAAAGACTTACTCAGAGGGAAAAAAATTTAAAAATATTTATAATAAGAATTTTTATACTTATTATTTTTTATTAAAATTTACTTTATTGGTCAATAACTTGTTAAAGCAGTTCATGTTTTCCCTTTCTGCCCATCTTCTTGATGTGACTCTGAAAATCATTGAGCATTTCTTTGTGTCTGTTTGCTGATATTTTTTTTCCTTTACTATGATTCTATGTGAGAACAGAGTTGATGCACGAACACTAATGGTCAAACATCAGATGGGTTGTGGGATGACATCAAGAAGATAATCCATGAAGAAAACAAACAGAGAGAAAGAAAACACCAGCATGGATTTCAGAAAGGATTCTGAAACTTTCAATGTAATGAAAAGAAGCCAAAACACAGGGAAGGAATGCTGAGATAAGAAAGCTAAATAGAAGATTTCAAAGGGCAGCTTGAGAGGACAAAACAAAGTATTATAATGAAATATGCAAGAAGTAAGAAGTAGAAAACCAAAAGGGGTAATACCTTCAGCGCTTCCCAAGCTGAAGAACAGATTCAAGCCTTGAGTTGCAACACTAAATGATTGATTATACAAGCAAAATCTTAAAAGGTGCTGGGAGCATTAAAAGAAGATGGCATACACAGCCACTGTACCAAAAAGATCTGGTTAACACTGAAACATTTCAGGAAGTAGCATATGATCAAAACCCAATAGTAATGTAAGAAGTTCAAGCTGCACTTAAGGTATTGGGGAAAAAAAAATAAGGTCCCAGGTACTGAAGGATTACCAGTCTGGCATGTTTCATCAAACAGATGCAGCTTTGAATATGCACAATAGGCTATGCCAAGACATTTGGAAGACAGATACCTGATCATCTGTCAAAAAAGTGACTCAACAAAATGTGAAAAGTATTGAATAATACCATTAAAATTACATGCAAGTAAAATCTTATCCAAGAGTCTTTAAAAATGGTTAGAACACTACATCAACAGGGAGTGGCCAGAAGCTCAAGCTGGACTTAGAAGAGGCTATAACTTGAGGGTTATCATTGCTACCATCAGATGAATCTTGGTTGAAAGCAGAAAATACTAGAAAGATGTTTATTTGTGTTTAATTGACTATGCAAAGGCATTTGACTGTGTGGTCTAACAAATTATGGTTAACATTGGAAAGAATAGGAATCACAGAACACTTAATTTTGCTCTTGTAAAACCATAAAATGTAAAAATAAGAAAATGTTCAAACAGAACAAAGAAATACTGCATTGTTTAAAATTAGGAAAGGTGTATGTCAAAGTTGTATCTTTTCTCCATGACTATTCAATTTGTATGTTGAGCAAATCATTCAAGAAGCTAGAGTTTATGAAGAAGAATGTATCATCAGGATTGAAGAGTCACCAACAACCTGTGTCATGTAGATGGTACAATCGTGCTTGCTAAAAGTGAAGATAATTTTAAACACTTGCTTCAGAAGATTTTAGGCTACTGTCTTCAATATAGATTATTTCTCAACATCAGGATATAAAAGTCCTTACCACCGGACCAATAGGCAACATCATGAAAGATGGAGAAAAGATTGAAGTTGTTATTTTACTTGGATATCACCCAATCAACAGTCATGTTAGCAGAAGTCAAGAAATAAAAACCTATGTTAAATTGGGAAAATCTACTGTCAAGGAACTCTCCAAAGTGCTGAAGAGCATGGATGATACCTAACAACAGTGATTCCAGTTTGAAGGTTAAGGTGACCCTGATCCAAGCCATTGTCTTTGCAGTTGCTTCCCATGCATCTGAAAGTTGGATAATGAATCAGGACAGAAGGAGAATCAATGCTTGTCAAAAGAACAAACAAGTCTATGTTGGAGGAAGTGCAACCATGGTGCTCGATAGAGGATGATGGGACTTCATCTCACATACTTTAGGCATGTTGTTGAGAAGGGTTTAGTCCTTGGCAAAAGACATCATGCTGGAAGAAGAGGGTCAGAGAAAGAGAGGAAGGCCCTTACCGGGATGGATCGGCACAATGACTATAAAAACGGGCTCGAGCATATCAGAGATCTTGAGGCTGGAGAGGGCTAAGCCATGATTCAGATCTGCTGTTCAGAGTCTCAACAAAACATTGCCATTTCAGTATTCTTCCCATGGACAACTCACTGACTGTAATCACTCATCATGTTGTTTAACCATCACTATTAGTCATCTCAGTTATTTCCATCATCTTTAATAGGTCAGTGTCCCTGAGAAAATACATTCTCCTCACCCCCGCCCCCATTCATGCTTGGAAACCACCAATGAACTTTGGATCCAAAGGATCCAGGTAGTCCAATCCTGCTAGGCCTTCAAAGTGTAGCCTTTGCCCTCGGCCACTACTCCCAACCCCATTAACACCCACCCACTGGTCACAGCTGCATTGACTTCTCTGAGCCATAGCCTGCTTCTCTCTTCCTGCTGCCTCTTCTTTCACCTATTAAAGGGATGCGCCTTTACCCCCACTCTTCCCTTCTGCATCCACTGCCTCCTAGTGCTCTTGTTTGCCTCATCCTCCAGGCATCAGTTTCTGAATGGCAGTTGGGGGTTTGCACAGCTTTGGGAGGCCGAGCAATGCTCTGCTTATTATGCACTGATTGCAATCCTCTCCCTCATTTCAGCAGCTCCCCCAGCAGATGAACTGGGGATTCCTTAACCACACAAGTAGTAATTACACCTACTGAGAGCCATGCTGGGCAAGAAAAGCAATTCAGGGAGAGAAGAAATTAAAGATGCTACTGTAGAAGTCCCCACCCACAGTTCTGTGCAACATAAAATTAATATGACAAACACGACTTTCCCGAAGCTCACAGCCCTGTTTTCCATAGGTTGTGCTTGGGAACTTAATTAGCATGTCCTTGTGTGCAACGTTTATCAGGAAACCAAGTCTTAACCATAAATCTAAACTAATCCAACCCTTCAAGCTCTGACCCCATGCTTAACCTCATGTAGTTATAATCTCAGTGCAGCTTTAACCATGATATTCAATAATTTATGTTTTTTAATCCATTACAAATTCCAGTTGTAGTCTGGGAATCTAGAACATCTAGGCCTGTTCTACATAATAGAAGCTGCTGGGGCCCACACCTTGGCTTATCTTACATAGCAGAATCTGGTGCTAAAGCTAAACACGCTTTCCTTTCAGGACACCCTGGAGATGTGTTCCCGGGAGGTGGAGTTCAAGAGCATCCTCTTTGCTCTTTGTTACTTTCATGCGGCAGTAGCAGAAAGACGAAAGTTTGGGCCCCAGGGATGGAACTGCTCTTACCCCTTTAACACCGGGGACCTCACCATCTCTGTGAATGTGCTCTACAACTTCCTGGAGGCCAATGCAAAGGTAAAGGAAGTGGGCGTTGGGGCCCAGCCAGGGCAGGTGCAGGCAGTTCTCAAAAGGATAACGCAAAAGAAGGAAAGTAAACACTAGGGAAATTTACCCTCTTCACTGTGGAATTAAGAAGTGTAAGTCAGCCCTAGGTCCACCATCATGAAGTCACAGCCAAGGACACTCACAAAGACAAACACTGCCTTGTCTTACATAGCAGAATCTCTTACAGTACCATAAGAATGTGTCCTGTGATCCATTGGATCACTGTTACGTGCCTGTGGCATTGCCAGTGCACAGTGAATGGGCAGGAAAAGCCCTCAATTAATGGAATGAAATCTCCCAATTTAATCAACTCATTGAGGAGCCAGGGCACAGCTCCTGTTGTGGAAAAAGCTTACAATTAATACCCTTCTATTCAAAAGAATGGAAACTACTCTTATTTTTTAAATTGTATTATTTTTTTTTTGTTTGTGCCATCAAATCAGATCTGACTAGGAGATTGTCCCTCCTTCTCCAGCAGAGTATCTGGTGGATTGAACCACTCACCTCTGGGACTGCAGTGTAGCTTCTTGCCACTAGGCCACCAGAGCTCACCTAAAAACTACTCTTAAATGTTAGTATTCTTCCACTTAAAGGAGGACTTCATCTAAGGTCTTCTAGTCTTCCAGCCAACCACATCATCTGCACAACCATACCTCTGCCAGACAGAAAAAAATAAATCGGACCCAAGTCCTGAGCATTCCCTCTGCTGGTCCTGGAAGGCTCGTCTGTCTACAGCATCATTCCTTCACTGGCTGTGCTGACATAAGGCTTTCCCCAGGTGGCTTGCCACTGAGCACTGCATCCTGGATTTCATGGCTCTGGATGAACAGTTGATTAAAAGGAACAATTCATCTCCTAAACAAATGGCAGACAATTTAAACAGTGCTCTGGTCCTTGCTTTCCTCCAGTTGACACTGGCCTGTTGATAGGTGGGACAGCCAGTGCCTGGCTTCATTGTCACAGGTGGTGACCATGTAAATGGGGTTGGCAGCTCACCATCCTCATGACCATTTGATGTCATTTTTAAAGTATTTTGTGAGTGCCCTACAAATGAGATTAACTCTGCCAGACTTGGGGGGGTCACCAGATAAATAGGGCATTGTTCCCAGTCTCAAAAAGCAGGCTAGTTAGTGGTGTCTGCCCTGCCCACACATTAGGCCAGCCCTGAAGCCTGTGGCCATGCCTTTCTTCCTCTCCATCGTCTCTCAGGTCCCCTTTGATGATTTGCGCTACCTCTTTGGTGAGATCATGTATGGAGGCCACATAACTGATGACTGGGACAGGAGACTCTGCAGAACCTACCTGGAGGAATTTATTAAACCAAAAATGTTGGAAGGAGAGCTACACTTGGCCCCAGGTTTCCCACTTCCAGGAAACATGGACTACAATGGTTACCATCAGGTGGGTTTTGCTCCCTCCCTCATAATTGCATAATGGTGCCCCCTCAAAACCTAGCTTTTAATTCAGTGTCACTGTGCACCCCTTGGGGTGACAGTGTTGGACCAGAGAAGCTCATGTTAGACTGAAGATGTTCATACTGAACTAGGAACACCAACATTGGGCTGGGGATACTTGAGGATGTCCACATTGGACCGGGGACAATTGTACTAGACAGAGGAGTTCTATTAGACTAAGAATATTCATGTTGGGATAGAATGTTCATTCTGGGCTAGAGACTCTTATGTTGGACAGGGAATGCTCATACAAGACCAAGACATGCTAGGCAGGAGAAGCTCGTGCTAAACTACATAATCATGCGGGTCTGAGGATGCTGAGCACAGGAGAGGGACAGCTCTTAGTGGCCCAGTTACAAGCCAGAGAAGTATACTTAAAGAGCTGAGCTTCAGGCAGATTTGGTTCTCAGCTCTAAATTTTCCTTCTTTAACTTGAAAGCTATAGACTTTCTAGTCTCAAATAAATGATAAATTTGAGCCTGTGGAGATCTTTTTCTTCATCATATTTGGTTCAATAGTTCTACTTCTTGCTCTTTTCTACACATAACAGCTGGGGCAGTTATTTAGTTGCTTGCATTCGGGATATTGATAAAACCCTCGGGAACAAAATCTTAAGTAAGAATTTAGACAACTTTAAGTGAAGTTCTAAATATTTTCAGAAAGACGTGTTTGTGTAGTTCAAGCACCTAAATAATTAGGCCAAAACACACACCTGGTGCCCTGCCATTCAGCCCTGCCCAGGACAATCATATTGAGACTAAGCACCCAGTGTTCCAGAAAAAGGCAGGGACCCACCACACACCACCTCCATGTCCAGAAACAAAATCAGACAAGCGCAAGGGTTAAGTGTATGCAACACACTCACTGTTATTTGTTGTTGTTATTGTTGTTGTTGTTGTTGTGTACCACTGAGTCAGGACCAAACCATAGCTGACCCTCCAGCAGGTTTTCAGAGGCACAGCTCATCCTTTTCCCATTGAGCACCTGGTAGTTTGAACTGCATGCATTTGGGATTGCTATGCAGTTTCTTACCACTAGGCCACCAGCACTCCTCAGCTCCCTGTGTTAGGTGCCTATGGACTTTCCGTGTCTATTCACCCCACTACCCTACTCCCTCATACACTAATGAACTGGTGGTACTCTTCGTTGTTCGGTGAACCCTGATGGACCAGTGACATCCACCCCCTTGCTCAAGTACTCATGCCAGAGGTTCATGGAGCAGAGCCACTTGCTTCTCTGCCCAGCCACCCCCACCAGGGGTGTACATACCAACAGTCCTCCCTGCTCCATCCAGCCACTGGTGGCAGAGTCCTATAAACCATGGTTCCTGCTTCTCCACTCAGCCACTCACGCCCAGCATCCAGATGCATAGCAAGTACACTCAGAAAAGAAACTGAGCCTGGACAGCTGGGAGGATTTATGAGAGTTGGCCGACTATGGTCTACTGTAACCAACTAAGGACATGTGTTGTTCCAGTGACTGACCAATTACCATCAAGTCAACTCCTTGCCATGTCAACCTAAAGCATGCCACAGCAAAGTGTGCTGCCTGGGCTTTGGAATAGCTGATTTCTCTTAAGTAGAGCCCCAGGCTTTTCTTCCAAATTAGACTCGTTCTTCTGACTTTTGGCTTAGTAGCTCAGCCTTAACTGTTTCCAGCACTCAGGCACTGCTGCTTGAGTAATACACTGCTTTAAAAGTTTAAAATTTGCATACTTTTAAGCCAAGGTCATTTGATTTCTAATCTTGACTCTGTATCTAATACTGTAACTATCTATGTTCCTCTATTGTTCATAGGATTTTCAGAGGCCTGTTATTCCATAAGTGGATAGCCAATCCTTCTTCCTAGCCTGTCTTGATGTGGGAACTCTACTAACACCTGTCCACTGTGGGTGGCTTTTGACATAGTGGCGGAACAACCTTGAACATCACAGCACCCACAAGCTATCTCAGTACAGCAAACTGACAGACAAGTGCTGGACTAAGTAGAACAGTGATAAAAAGAAAGACTACAGATCCCCGAGCTACAAAGTAATTAGCAATAAGCAGATCATTACCCCAATACAACAGGCTTACAGATCAGTCTCACCATTTAGGAGGCTCTCAGTCTGAATCCTAGATACCAGTTCTAGGGAAGGTTTTCTCTCTTTGGCAGTTCTGAAGGAAGGTCCTTGTCTCTGAGCTTCTGCTTCTGGACCATCTTCTCATGACTTAGTGTCCCTGCCCTTCCATTTGAGGTGCACAGCTGGCACAGCAGGATGATGTCCCAGGTGCAGGCCATGTCTCCACTGGATCTGGCATACCGGCAGTGAAGACTGGTTAAGATCTCTGATGCATCGATGTTAGTTTAGGATAAAGTACACCGCATGCACTAAGATGCACTTGCTATGCATCTGAGATATGGACAGTGAATAAGGATGATGGGGGGGATGGAGAATGATGCCTTTGAATAGTGGTGATGGAGGAGAGTACTGAATAGTCCAAGAACTGCCAGGAGAAAAAACAGAAATGTCTTGGAGAAAATGAAGCCAGCGTGCTCCTTAAAGGCAAGGATGATGAAGCTTCATCTCACATACTTTGGGCATGTTGCTAGGATAGTTTATTCTTTGGAGAAGGCCATCATGCTTAGAAAGGCAGAGGGATGGTGAAGGAGAGGAAAACCCTCAACCAGATGGATTGGCAAAGTGACCATAGTAATGGACAGTCATAGATTGTGAAGATGGCACAGGACAGGACAGGGTTCAGATCTGTTGTTCATAGAATTACTGTGAGTTATACTCATCTCAACGACACCTAACAACAAGAACAAGCTAGGGCCACAAATACATGGCAAGGCTCATGCCACCCTATGATTCATACATGTATTTTTGTGTGCATAGTCCCAGGCTTTGTCTTCCCTGATTGAGACTAAACAGGAAGAAAAAGAGGAACTTAAAAAGGAAAGACCTAGGGTCCTAGAAGAACTGGAGAACAAATAACAAGTAGGGATTAGTATTGATGAAGAACCATGCGATATGATTGTTTTATCTGTCAGAGCAGGGGTCTATCAAGGAGCAGCAGGAGGGGAGGGGACAGAGATGGCTAAAGGCACTCAAGCTTCCTGAAAAAGGAAATGATATGATAAATGTGGGAATTCTGGAAAACGGGTCTGGCATACTAAACAGGGGGCGTCAAAGAAAGGCTAGAGACAGTGTGCACTGATATGTGGGCAGGGTATTGAAGTCTGACCCTCAGAGTGGTGCAAACAGTTCAGGAATATATCTACTAACCAAAGAGTTGGTAGGTTGAATCCATTCAGACACATCTTGGAGGAAAAGCCTGGTGGTCTACTCCCTAAAATTCAGTCATTAAAAACTCTAGGCAGTACAGTTCTACTCAGACGTGCATAAGGTCAACATGCATTGGAGTCAACTCAACAGCACCTGCTTTGCTGGAGTCCTTTCAGGTTGGTCCATGTGGAGGATGAAAATGGTAAGTGGTGTTGAAGCCCAGTCCATCTACTGACTGCCTTTCAGAAGACGAGAAGTGTGGGAGACGAGAACTATGCCTTTTCTTTTAAGTCTCTTTTCCCCTCTATTTTCAGTACATTGATGCTGAGCTGCCTCCAGAGTCTCCCTATCTCTATGGCCTGCACCCGAATGCGGAGATTGGCTTCCTGACCCAGACCTCGGAGAAACTCTTCCGCACTGTGTTGGAGCTGCAGCCTCGGGACAGCCACACTGGAGAGGGCGCAGGGGCCACAAGAGAAGAGAAGGTACTTGAAGGAGGCGGTGGGGGGTCATGATGGGAGCCCAGGGAAGGTGGATGGAGACCCTGTCCATGTTGCTGCTTTAGCACAAGTGGGCCCAGCCTGGAGATGCTGCTTTCCCTCACAGGACCATCTCACTCTCTCCTTAGACAGGTCACCACATAAGCCATCTGCTTAACACCTCTACTACTTGAGTTGGTAACGTCCTCTGCCAGCCCATCCAAAGTCAGGTTTTATTTCATTCCCCAAGTTTGGCTTCCAAAGCATAGAGAAGACAGTGCTGGACAATGGCTGGTCTTGGAGCCAAAACAGTAACTCTATGACTCCAAAATCTAAGTAACTGTGTGTGTGGAGCTTTTCCCAAACACCTCCCACAGCACTCACCCCCGCGATGTTTGTGCTGATCAGCACAACCGAACACGCTTGATCTTTTTGCAAATGATTTTTAGTCAGAGAGTCTCTTAACACAGAACTAAGTACTTCAATGCCCATAACTTCTTAAAATTTCAGGAAGATGAGAGGACATTCTTGAGTAGAAAGGTAGATTAGGGGTTTTAGGACAACCTGCAATGTGAAGGTTCTGCTCCTGGTGTGAAGGTAGCAGAGGCAAGAAAGAAAGGGGAACCTTTCCTCCACCTCACAGAAAGTAAAGCTTCACTGTGATTCCACCCCCCCAAAATAAGGTTAGAGCATCTGCAACAAACAAGCCAACCATGAACAAAGATGAACTTGTTGTGTGCCTTCAAGTTGGAACTGACTCATACTCATAGCAGACCCCCAGCAGGCTTTCAGAGGCAGTAAATCACTCAGGAGAAGATTGTCTATCTTTCTACCATGGAGCAGCTAATGGATTCAAACCACATACCTTTGGGTTGGCAATGCATTTCCTTACCACTAAGCCAGTAGGAGAACCAATTTACAGTGCAGGTTCTAGGGAGCAGATTGATTTTGCTAACATACAAAGAGTTCTTCATATGGAAGCAAGGAAGAAGCACAGGAGAGGCTGGGGAGAAAAGCTACAAGAAATTCACATTACAGCTACACATGGGCCATAAGATGGTAAAAGATTGTTAACAGCATGCATAACTGAACGACATTAAGTCAAATGCATTGTAAATATATGGTGAGGTGTGATAATACTAATTGGCAAGATATAATAAAGCAGCCACTTTGACTTCTGGCTGTTGATGTTCTTTTTTTTAAAAAAAAATTATTTTATTATTTTGTGTGTGTGTACCTTCAGATTGGATCTGGCTGGTACAGGAGGAGATTGTCCCTCCTTCTCCAGCACAGCATTTGGTGGATTCAAATCACACGCCTAAAAAAAAAAAAAAAAAAAAAAAAATCACACGCCTCTGGGATTGCAGTCCAACTTCTTGCCACTAGGCCACCAGAGCTCCCTGGCTGTTGATGTTCTGTGTCATCAAGTCAACCCTATGAACAGTGGATCTGAGCCTCACCCTACCCCGTGCCATCCTCACCATTTCTAATATACATGAGCCTATTGTTACAGTCACTGTGTCAGTCTATCCCATTGAGGGTCTTTCTCTCTTAGGCTAACCCTCCATCTTTTCAAGCATGATGTCTTTTTTCCAGTGACTGGCCTCTTGTGACAACATGCCCAAAGTATATAATAATTTGATAGTACCTACTTAAAAAATACTAATTTTTGACTCATACTTGTAGAAAGTCAAATAATATAAATACTCAAAATTACACAGATTTTATGCATATTTATTTATAATAGAATCAGGATGGGTGTGTCAGAGGCAGTGCAATTGGCACAGGATAGAGCAGAGTTTAGGGCTGTTGTACATAGGGTCGCTATGAGCTGCAAGCAACTCGACGGCACATAACAACAACAACATAGCAATAAGAAACTATTCTATAAGGCAAATATTTATCAATAGGGGACTGACTATTGTGTATGTTAGGAGGATACTATATACCCACATATACTAATCAGAGACTATGTCTAAGATTTCTTTTAAGTGAAATATTTATACTTCGGGGGGGGTAGATTTCTTCTGAGTTAAAAAAGGAAGCTGGGAAAGTTATGTGTAGTGTGGTCCCATTGTTGATGGAAGAGGTAGACAGAAACAGAAAGAAAAGAAATGGGGGTGTGGAAGGAGAAAAGAGAATGAGGAGGAAGGACGCATCAAGACAGAGGAAGAAAGAAAACTGCATAGTGATTAACATCAACAGGAATGTAAACAAAAACGGAACAGTTTTACTATTTTAGGAGGGTTCTTTTTCTTTGGGGAGAAAGAGGAAAGATTGGAGGAGTATTTTGCTTCTAATAGAACATGCATCTGTGATGTTTAGATTTTGACGGTAAGCACTTACTACTTTTTCAATAAGGAAAAAATAAAACCAGCGTTTACTTAAGGGAAGAAAGTGAATATAATTCCTTAGATCCTGCTCCTCCCACACAAAGGGCCCCTTGGGCTTTCCTGTGTCTTCTTCCTCCTCGAGACTGATTGGTGATGAATCCCACTTTCCTGCCCTTGATGCATTTGGAACACCTCCTCCAGGCTATGTTTCTGTTCCTTTGTGAATAATGTCCAAATGGCAGCTCACTGATATAGCGCTGTTTCTTCAAATTCAACCTCTGAGACAGAAATATGATATTATTTCAGCCATTTGTCTTCCACTCAAGCTGCCACTTTCAAGTGCCATTACAATGCCACTCTAGTTTTCCCTGTGACAGCACCCAAGGCCCATTTGTACCAGGTCAATGGTTTCTATTTCTTCTTTTTCTAACATCAGCTCTTTTCCTGGAGAACATATTCTATGTTAATAATACAAGGCAAGGTGAATATAGTTAAATATTAATAATCTTTCACATTCAGTGGCTTTCTAGCTTACATCTGCCAGAGTCATCAGCTCCTTTGAGTTGATCTTTACAACAACCTTGAGAGTTAGGGGAGAGAGGACAGGTAGGTGGGAGAAAGTGCTCTGGAAAGTTCTTAGCATTGGGAAAATTGAGACCTAGGTGACATGCTTAAATTCACAAGGTCAGCATATAACAGACCTGCATTAATTCAGAGTTCTTGGATTCCAAGCAGTATGCAGCAATTTAGCTTAACTAGGGAGCTAGATTCTCACCACTGGACCAATTGGCAGCATCAGGATGGATGGTGAAGAGATTGAGATTGTACACAGCTTAAGTTTGCTTGGCTCCACAGTCAACACTCTTGGCACCAGCAGCCAGGAAATTAAAAGGCACATTGCCATGGGAAAGTCTGCTGTTAGGGACCTCTCCAAAGTACGGAAGAGCAATGGTGTCTCTCTGGAGACTAAGGTGCGCCTGATACAGGCCATGGTCTTTGCAATCACTTGTTATGCATCAGAGAGCTGGACAATAACCAGGGAGGATAGAAGGAGTATTGATGCCTTTGAGCTGTGGTGCTGGAGAAGAGTATTGAGAATACCAGGGACTGCTAGGAAAACAAACAGATTCGTCCTGGAAAGGGTTAAACCTGGTGGCTCCTTGGAGGCAAGGATTCTGAGGCTCCGTCTAACATACTTTGGACATGTGAGGAGAGACCGGTCCTTGGAGAAGGACATCATGCTCAGGAGGGTGGAGAGACGGCGCAGGAGGGGAAGGCCCTCTATGAGGTGGATTGATTCAGTAACTGGGATAATCGGGATGGGAGTGTCAGAGACAGTGCGATTGGCACAGGACAGACAGAGTTTAGGGCTGTTGTACATAGGGTCGCTGTGAGTTGCAAGTGACTCGAGGTCACATAACAACAACAACAACAACAGGGAGCTCTAGGTGTGTCCTGCGCCTCCCAATGGGTTTTGGCTCCGCCTTGGGGCTTTGTACCTGTAGGCGTGTCAGAAGCTATTGCCACAAGTCGCTTCTCTATTGTCTGGCCTCAACTTCTGCCCATGCGGCTTCTAGGCTCCTGGTTCTGTCTGGCAGCGTGTCCCTCAGTCTCTCCTCTGCGCCTCCCTACCGATTTTGGCTCCGCCAAGGGTTAAGGACTGCACCCTTCAGTATGGACTGAGGCTCAATGTCAAGAAGAAAGAGATTCTCACCACTGGACCAATTGGCAGCATCAGGATGGATGGCGAAGAGATTGAGATTGTTCACAGCTTCAGTTTGCTCGG